ACGCCTTTAATCCCAGCACTTGGGAGGCAGAGGCAGGCGGATCTCTGTGAGTTCGAGACCAGCCTTGTCTACAAGAGCTAGTTCCAGGACAGGCTCCAAAACCACAGAGAAACCCTGTCTCGAAAAACCAAAAAAAAAAAAGAAAAAAAAGAAAAAGAAAATGCAGAAATGTAATAACAGATTTAAAATTTTTTTTATTATTTATTTACTCTGTCTGTGTGTATGCCTGCAGGCCAGAAGAGGGCACCAAACCCCATTACAGATGGTTGTAGGCCACCATGTGGTTGCTGGGAATTGAACTCAGGACCTTTGGAAGAACAGGCAGTGCTCTTAACCTCTGAGCCATCTCTCCAGCCCTAATAATAGATTTTGACACTGAAAAAAAAAATTGGATCCCTAGTCCTCCTTGTGACTCTAACATTTCCTTCCTTATAAGAAATTAAAATATGACAAAACTCCTCTGAATAGGCTCCTAGTTACCTCTCTCTCTTGGTTTTTCAAGACAAGGTTTCTCTGTGTAGAACAGGCTTGTCTGGAACTCTCAGAGATTAGCCTGCCTCTGCCTCCCAAGTGTTGGTATCAAAGGAATATGTCACCACTACCCAGATTTTATCTTTTATTTTTTGAGACAAAGTCTTTCTGGCTGTTTTGTTCCTATGTTGACCAGGAGCTCACAGAGATCTGATTGCCCGTGCCTCCTAAGCGCTGGGAAAGACATGCACCACCACGGACAGCTTACATTCCTTTCTTAACACCGGACGTTAAGGCGGAGGACGGAATTAGACAGTAGAGGGCTTCCTTTGACACTGCGAAGACCTCGGTTTAATGCCTAACCCCACAAAAAACTGGGCATGGTGTTGTGCTCTTAGGATCATAGCACTAGGGAAAGGCAGGAGGATCAGGGGTTTAAGGTAATTCTCGCTACATCAGAAATTCAAGGTAATTCTCAACTACTTAGCAAGTTCCTGGTCATCCTGGACTCCATAGCGATGTGGCTGAGTGATCTATCACTCATCTAGCGTGTGCAAAGTCCTGCACTCAGATAACGCACACACACAGACACACTTCACATACAAAGCCATACTCATATACACACACACTAAACATACACATACACACACTCCCATGTCCTTGGTTCTGCTCACTGAAAAGGCTAAGAAGCAATACCGCATCCTGAAGAGTGAGCCTCTCAGCTCTCAGAATGTGAATTCATGACTTTCTTACTTAAAGGGACCATATGTCACTGGAAAAATGGCTGACGCCATACTTCAGGCTGTGCACTTGGAATATCTGAATGTTCTGCACAGAAAGGGGCGTGTATGAAAATGATACCACAGACGTGACACCTCCATCCAGGGGTAGGCAGTCAGGTGACCACATGGCCCTTCACATCTGCTTTCTGGAGTCTAGGTTACACCTGTTGGCCTGGCCTTTACTCCATAAACGGTCATACGGTGTCGTGTGACGGAGCTTTTCCTGGGGAGACCCAACACACACATATAAATCTACTCAGGGAGCCCAGGACAGACCTAACTCCAGATATCACCAATGTTTAGCTTGATGAACCAAGAGTTTTATTGGGGTTACTTACAGGAGTATGAGTGAGGAGTTACTTATAGGAGCAGAAATGACTCAAAGACAGCTGCATCACCAACCCCAGCATGGGTGACAGTTCACTACACTGGGAATCCAGAGTACACTGCACAGCCTGCAGCAGCTCACCAGGTGCCTCAGTTGGTCTAAACCTCAGCTGGTTTGACTTCTTCCAAGCAGTTGGTCTGAGTCTTTTTGAAGCTTGGCTCTGGGGAGGGGCCTAGTGAGCCCGGTCAGTTTCAGGGATTTCCTGACATTCCTTTGAATTGTTTACCTTCTTGCTTAAAGAGTTTCCCTGCAAGCCGGGCAATGGTGGTGCACGCCTTTAATCCCAGCACTGGGGAGGCAGAGGCAGGCGGATCTCTGTGAGTTCGAGACCAGCCTGGTCTACAGAGCTAGTTCCAGGACAGGCTCCAAAGCCACAGAGAAACCCTGTCTCGAAAAAAAAAAAAAGTTCAAAAGCTGGCTGTGCTAGACAGGAAGTTCAAGACCAGCCTGGGCAATTTATTGAGTCTTGCCTGAAGACCAAAAGTGAAAGAGGACTGGTGATATAACTCAGTGGTAGGGCCCTTGTTCAGCATGTGCCAGGCCCTGGGTATGAAAAAAAAAATGAAAGGAAAACGCAGGGGAATGGGGTTTCTGCTCTTGACGCTGGCTCAGGGCTGTAATGCCCATTGTGCTCCAGGATGTTAAGGCGGGAGAACACGAGAATGAGCCAACATAGACTACACACACACACACACACACACACACACACACAGAGAGAGAGAGAGAGAGAGAGAGAGAGAGAGAGAGAGAGAGAGAGACAGAAGACAGAGACAGAGAGCGCCTTGTCTCAAAGAAACCAAAACAAATAAAAAAGGTGTTATCTGATGCCATTTCCTTTGAGGTTAGGTCAAATGTCAGATGCATCAGACAAAAGGACTTGTGTATACACGCATGCAAGTGCACGGAGTACATGGAGCCTCTTAAGGACCAGCCTAGGGATCAAGGTCCTCTTTTTGGAGGGCATTCAGCTACGACCCACCCGCACCTGCAGAGGGCGCCGCAGACACACCGAGGCGAAGCGAGCCCCAGGCTGGGTGCGAGGCCATGGCCAGTACAGTTTCTGGGCAAGGCTTCTTCCCCAAGGGAACTCCTGAGTTGCATCAGGAGCGGGATGAAGGTTGATGAGGAAAGCAGAAAAGAAAGAGGAGATGAAGAACCAAGTTCTGCTACTGACCCCAATCGTTCAGGTGCCTGAATCTGTTTCCCCATCTATAAAGTGGATGGGGGCGCGCGGGGAACGGGGGCGGATTCGGAGAGTACTCTTACAAGGATTCGGAGACAACTTAGATCCCAAGTGCCACCTGCCCTCTCTGCTCCTCCCCAGTCTAAGCATCCTCGCCGGGCAGCCAGCCGCCAGTTTGGAGTAGCCAATTGGGTACCGCAGCAGGGATGGATCCGGACTCCACGAAGTCCTGGCACAAGGGGACACCTAGGATACCGTGCCAGAGCCCCGCTCGACCCTATTCTCCCCCCACTCACCCTCCACCCCAAGAGCCCAGTCGCCGACCATCACCTGGGCATTCCCGGGAGCGGGCCTGGCGGGCGGGGCGCGGGGCGGGAATGGGGGCGGGGGCCGTGGGAGGAGGCCGGCCACGTGACTCCCGCAGCACTGCCGGGCTGCCAGGCGGGGAGCGCTTAGCTGCTAAGGCCCGGGTGGTGGCGGCGGGCGCGGAGCCCGAGCGGCGCGGGACTGGCCGTCGGGGCCCCGGGACGGCGGCTCCCGGAGAGCTCCCATGCCATGGAGAAGCTGGCGGCCGGGCTGGCCGGGCTGCGCTGGAGCATGGGTGCTTTCCCGCTCGACCTCATCGTCAGTCGCTGCCGCCTGCCCACGCTCGCCTGCCTCGGGCCAGGTACGGGGTGCCCAGGGAGGGGACGTTGCGGAAGGGGGGCGGGTGGACGGACCGTCGGGACCTCTCACGGATGGAGCTGGCGGGATTACGAGATGCACTCGGTCCCGGTCCCTGCCCTCCCTGTCCCCAGCGATGGGAGCCTCGCCTGTCTTCTGGGGCAGCTCCCGGGACAACCGGAGCCCCCGAGCCCGGGGAGCACTTTCTGGCCCCATCTGGGCACAGGATTAGAAACTGGAGGCAGGGCTGGGAGAAAGTTTCCTGTTCCCTCTGGAACCAGTAGCGCTGCTGAGTCTCTGGGCTGATCCGTCGGTGCACCCCGCTTTCTTGGAGCTTGTCGGCCCCTGCCCCGGCCGCTCCCCCTTGATCCCTTTGTCTCCAGCCTTTACCTTCATCCTCCTGCATCCCTTGGACCTCTATGTGTCTTTTCCCTACTATCACCGGCTAGTCCCTTTTGGGGGACTTGAACCGTCCTTTGGCATCCTAAGGTCCTCTGGTGAAGGATAGGCTACCCTCAGGAGAGGCCTGAGTGAACGGACCTCCTTAGCCACCCCCCCCCCCACCTCCAGCACAGGACCCTCGCTCTCGCCCTCTCTCGTCCTATTTCTTCAGCAATCTCCCGGTATTCCGATGATGGGACCGGGACCTTATTTGGGAGAGCCTGACGGCTGCACAGAGCGAGAGGACTGGAGAGTTGGGGGAAAGGGGAGCTGTTTGACTGGGGGAGGGGCGGGAGCCGGGGCTGGCAGCCAGGCCGGGGGGGTTTTGTGTGTGAGAAGAATAGGGGTTTGGCCCGCGTTGGCACACTCGCTTCCCTGAATGCTAATGGGACTCCTGTGCTGTCTTCTTGAACTGGCAGTCCTTCCTCTGTCCGGCAACAGCAAGAACTGGGCACAGTGGGTACCAGGCAGGCTGAAGCAGGCTCTGTGGGACATTGGTGTTCGGGTCCATTAGGCAGGAATACCTGGTAGGGCAACTCTTGCTGGACCTTGCTCACCACTCAGCGTGTGATCCCAAGACTGCAGCTGGGCCGCGGCTGCTTGTGAATAGGAAATTCGGCCCTAGGTTCTTCCTGCTCACTTCCCACGCATCTCTTTGGCACCTCTTTCTTTGAGTTCTTTTCTGAGCCCTTCTGTATAGGCTAGGCCTCCTCTGCTGTCCGCCACACCTGTGCGTCCCATTATAACCAACAGTTTCCTCTCTTCCACTGGGCTCCTGGCTTTTGGGAGAGGACCGGACAAAGATCGTGGACATTGATTCACTGAATGAATGAATGAATGAATGAGCAATGGTGTGTGATGGCCTAGCTGTCTGTGACAGCGTTGTTATGACTGAAGTCACCATTAGAGTATGAATGTATATTTGGAATGGTGTGTCCTGGAAGGTCCCCTCGTGGGCATACATTCAGGAAGTGCCCCTCTGTGTGATATTGAGACTGAGTTTTGCTCTTTGGGTGACAAGCGTTTGAACTGTTGGTGATGGTGGCCCCTGGCTCTTGGTATGTAAACCAGTGTGGCTTCTGCCTGTGTCCCTATGGAAGAGTGGGTGGGGCCTAGAAAGAGCTGGAAGTGTTGGAGAGAGCAGACCTTCATCTCGTCCAGGAGCTAGAGAGCTGAGGAGGAAGGCAGACAAACCTCCCCTGGCATGCTCTGGCGTACACATTCTCACACACAGAGCGGAAGATCCTCCCTTGAAGGCCCTGGATACCGCACCCATTCATACACACCATACAGACATGCTTTATGAGACCCCCTCTGTCAGAGCAAACCATTTCCTATTTGTTTGGCTGGTAGAAAATTTGGTGTGTGTGCGTGCGTGCATGTGTGTGTGTGTGTGAGAGAGGGGGCTGGGAAGGAGACATCCCCACCCCCACTGTGTCCACCAGCTGCATCCAGGATACGCCCCATCAGTCTCCTGGAAGCTGGGCTGCTAGTCCTGCTTCCCCTGGAAACGGTTGCTGGGGATGGAGCCTCCTGGGCCCAGACCCCTCCCGACTCCAGCACCTCTGCCCCAGTGCCGCTTTCCTCAGCCTAGGTTCCCTCCTCCTCCCCAATTCTGCTTCCTAAATCCCCTGTACATCCTATCCCGACTTTAAGAAATTGCTTTTTAAGATGAGATCTGGGTGTTCAGGATTAACTCCCCCGTCCTTTGAGGTCCCATGCCTATGAGACTCTGTGGCAGTGGGTGGAGAGAGTGTCTCTCTGAAAGATCCAGGAGTGGGCTCGTGTGAGCTTTGCCATTCTGAGCCGACAGTGACTTTCTGAGCTCTCATAGCCAGGACCCACAGGGGACAGATCCCTTCTCTGTCTTTTCCTTGTCTAGCCTGGGCACTGACTAGGCAGGATCCTGCAAAGTCTCTCATACCCCACCCCAGCCTGATGTCCGCCTCCCCCATGTCCCTACATGCCCTCAGCTCCCTGCCTCAAACTTGCTTCCTCCAGCCTCCTGAGGCCTGAACACGCCTGGAGGGCTGAAGCTGGCTGGCTCAGCCTCCTCCGCTGGGAGTCCCTAGCCCCAGCTTGGGCTGGGACAGCAGACACTCCAGCGGAATGATGAATGAGAGGCTGTGAATGCGATAGTCGCGGAGGCCCCGTAGGGAGCCAGAGCTTTGAGGTTCAGGCCGGACTCACAGCCCAGAGGCCACAGCTGACAGCCCATTACTGCCCCCTCCCCGCCCCCCAGTGTTGCTGACCAGTGCAAGGATCACGGGGTGCAGTCCCCAGGCAGGGATTTGCTGATGAAGTGTGTGTGTGTGTGTGTTGGGGGGGGTCACCAATCTTTTCTTTTTTTTTTCCTCTCCTAATCTTCCCTCTTCTCTTCTTTCCATCTCTTCTTTCTCTCTCAGGGGAGTACGCTGAGGGCGTCAGTGAGCGCGACATCCTGCTGATCCACTCCTGCCGCCAGTGGACGACAGTGACAGCCCACACCCTGGAGGAGGGCCACTACGTCATTGGGCCCAAGATTGACATTCCCCTGCAGTACCCAGGTGTGTCCAGCTAGGGCCAGATGGCTCAGGAGATGGGAGAGACTGGGACCAAGGGTGCGGGGGGGGGGGGGGGGGGGGGGGGGGGGGGGGGGGGGGGGGGGGGGGGGGGGGGGGGGGGAGTAATGTGTAACAGCCGCCATTGATGACCTAGGACCTGCTAGTGGGGTGGCCACTAGGGGGGTTGTACTTCGAGCTAGGGCTGAGGAGTGTCCGTGCTGTTTCTGAAGAGATGGAGCTCAGGTTTACAGACTTTGGAGTCTTGTTTTATATCTTGGAGACAGGTTTTTACCATATAGCTCAGGCTGACTTTGAACTCATGTCAAGCTTCTTGCCTCAGCCTCCTGAGTACTGATTATAAGCTTGACCCACTGTGCTAGGTCACATTTTATTTTTAAATATTTTTTGAAGTAATGGTTAAAGATATACACACCTCTTCTCTTTTTCCCTTTAAAGACAGGGTCTCACTCTGTAGGTCAGACTGACCCCGAAATCACAGAGCTCTGTCTGCCTCTGCCTCTCAAGTGCTGGGGACTAGAGGTGCGCAGCACTGCAGCCGTCCAAATGTACCCACATCTCTAAGGCACACAAATCAAACGTTATCCCTAAGTGGAGAGCTTCAAGACTATACCCTAAGCTGCCTTTAATATTTTCTTTTTTAAAAAATATTGTTTATGGTTTATTTAACTTTATTTTATGTGCATTGGTGTGAAGGTGTCAGATCCCCTGCAACTGGATCTTCAGATAGTTGTGAGCTGCCATGTGGGTTCTGGGAATTGAACCCGGGTCCTCTGGAAGTACTCTTAACCACTGAGCCATTTCTCCAGCCCCCCTTTAATGTTTTCAAGTGCAAACAAAGGGAATGTCTGCTAGAGCCCTCTCAGTACTGAGTGCTGGGGCCAACTTGTGGCTGCCTCTCAGCTGGGCAACTCTTTCCCCCAGTTTTTTCCTTTTTTTTTTTTTTTTTTTTTTTTGGTTTTTCGAGACAGGGTTTCTCTGTGGCTTTGGAGCCTGTCCTGGAACTAGCTCTGTAGACCAGGCTGGTCTCGAACTCACAGAGATTTCGCCTGCCTCTGCCTCCGGAGTGCTGGGATTAAAGGCGTGCGCCACCATCGCCCGGCCTCTTTCCCCCAGTTTTGTGTTAAACATATGGTCTTCCTGGATTGGCTCTTTCAACAATGCAGAAGTGGTATATTTCTAAAGGATTTGCTAACTACCTGTTTTTATGTGTGTTATATTTATTTTTTATTTGTTTGCAGTACGGGGGTCAAAACTAAGGCTTCATGCATGCTAGGCATGCTTGCTAGTGCTCTACCACTGAGGTGCAACCCCAGCCCTCGTCTACCTTTTTGTTTTAATTTTTGTTAGATTTTTATCCATTCATTGTGTGTGTGCACGTGCACACGCATGTGTGTGACAGCACATGTGGAAATCAGAGAATAACTTGCAGATTCTTGTCTTCTACCATGTGGAGCGAGGAACCAAACACATTTCTTCAGGCTTGGCTGCAAGCACCTTTACCATGGAGCCGTCTCCGCTATCTTTTTGTTTGTTTGTTTTGTTTTTCAAGACAGGGTTTCTCTGTGTAGCCCTAACCATGCTGTCCTAGAAATCGCTATGTAGACCAGGCTGGTTTCAAACTAACAAAGATCCCCCTGCCTCTGCCTCCTGAGTGCTTGGGATTAAAGGCGTGCGCCACCACCGCCTGGCTCAGCTATCTTTTTATTCTGAGGCATGGTCTTGATAAATTGCCCTGTAATCCAGGCAGGTCTTGAACTTGTGCTCCTCCTGCCTCAGTCTCTTGAGTGGTTGGGAGTTATAGTCCTGCACCATGCCACCAGGTCTGGCCCATTGTGTTTGGTTAAAGGTTTTCTTTGAAGAGAGGATCTACTGCCAAAAGAAAGGGTAGCACTTCCATTCTGCCCTGATGAAACCAAGGGCCCCAGCAGGGAACTGACCTGCCCTGGGTCACAGAGCTACTCAGGAGGAGTCAAGGCCAGAACCCAGGTATCCTAACCACTGGGCTGTTGCATCTTACCAGCACCGCAGAGCTGTTGTTCCCAAGGTACCAGCGCAGTGCCATTCCAGAAATGTCTCCATGCAAGCCCAGGGCAGCTACGTCCAGTGCATTCCCGATCCTGGGTTGTGTGCTGGCTGCCACCGTTTTGTTCTCACCACATCGCTCCTTTGAACAGCTGGAGAGTGAGGCTCCAGTTCTGTGCTGTTCTGCACAGCTCCTGTGCCCCGCCCCCCACAAGGACTTACCGCTGCTCTTTCTGGCCTGGCCCGCCTTGAGTCAGCAGGACAAGGCTTAAACCTTGCCCCAGGTTTGATCTCTTCCCCACACACTTGCAGGGCTGGCTTCTACTTGCAACAGCCCAGGGAGGAAGCTGCCTCAATGGTCCGACTGACTTGGGGCGGGGCGGGGGGGGGTTCTGTCTTGACTGTAGGCTTTTGGTGCCTGCTCAAGCTAGAAATTCCCCTTGCTGAGAACCTGGCATTGATTGGCTCGTGTTGAGATTCCTACCTTCTTGGGCTAAAAATAAAGCCAGCAGTTTGGGAAAGCCTTCACAGACATTGGAACCATTTCGGTTGTATCTTTAAAATTCTGAGAAACCAAGTCAAAGAGCTCCCAGCAAACCGTGAACAGAGGGAGGGAGGGAAGCCCCCATCCGTTCGCCCATCCATTTTGATGCCTCCTTAGTGAGCATGAGAGGTGGGGACGGGACAGTGGGGTGACAGCTGGCCTGCAGGGCCTCTTCCGCTGGGTGCCTCACTCACCTCCTGTGAGCAAAACGAGGGGGCTGGGCCTCCAAAGAGGCTCAGAGTGCAGGCTCAACGCTGAGTCTCTCAATGAATTAATAATGGCACTGTCCAGGCCGGCTGTGGCCAGGCGCAGCCAGCGGGGGAGGGGTGGGGCTGGGGGCTCTGACACTGTGGCTGCCCTCCGTCTCCAGGGTGCCTTGGTGTCTAGAGACGTCCGGGTGCTATCCGAGGGTCCCCAAAGCTATTTCCTGAGCCTTGGCCTTGGGCTCTGCGGAGCCCTAGTCAGGTGAGCCCCGCCTCTCAACTCCAACGTGAGCCACATAATATGCATCCATTTTACGTACAAGAAACCCAAGTCCAGATAGTAAATGATTTCACATGGCCATTGGTGGCACAGCCGAGACGCAGCTACATCCAACTCTGAAGCCTGATTGGTCGTCCCACCTACCAGCCGCGGTACCGAACCTAGGCCAGAGCAGCCGAGTTCTTTACCAGTGCGCGAAAGCTCGCTGTGTGGGTCAGGTTTTGGGAGCAGCGGGAGGGTGCTTTTGACTGGAAAGGATGATCAGCATAGTGCAGTGTGACAGTCCCCAGATCCTGCAGACTCTGCTTGCCACTGACACCGTTGTGGGAGGCAGGAGAGGAAGCTGTAGGACCGAGAAGGTTTCTAGAGGCCAAAGCATGACTCCCGGGAGGCCTCCCTTCCTTCCTCCCCAAAGAACTGACCCGGCTGCGAGGCTGGGGGGTGGCGGTGCTGGATACCATGGTTACATCGATCTTCCTGCCACATCCTCCCACAATCCAACCCAGACTGGGCTCCAAATCTCGCCACAGGGGGCAGCAGGCAGTTCTCCATGCCTGGCTGCTTGTGGTTGAAGTATGGGGGTTCATGGAGGGGTGTGGAGAGGGAGGAGACTGTGGCCAGTTAGCCGGCCAGCCCCGGGGGGCTCCTGCTCCTTGACGCTGGCCCCTCCTCATTTTATCCCCCACCCCCCAAGCCTTGAGCTGTAGCATCTCCTCCCTCTAGTGTCTGGGAGGTGGAGGCTGGACCACGACCATCACTCCTGTTTGCTCCAGGGCACCACCCATCCTCCCTTCTCTTTCTTACTCCTTGGTGCTGGATGTTGGTGATTCAGGCCCTACCCTTGGCCAGAGACTCTTCAGGCACCAGGGTTGCTTAGTCTCCCTCCACCTCTGGTTGGACTTTGGGTGGGGTGAGAGCCGTCTCCACTGTGTGTGAGCATTTTTCTGGGTCATGGGTCCCCAAAGGGTTAAGGCCCTCTTTCCCTCTTCCCTAACACACCTGCCCCCCACAGCTGTACTGGTGCTTCAGGCTGTTGCTCTACGTGGTGTCCCCACACATACAAGTAGCCCTGCGCCGTGGAGCACGACCTGAGGCTCCTTAGTTGGTCTCGCAGGATCTGCCTCCACCATCTTCCTCATTTTTTTTTAAAAGTTATTTATTATGTATACAATGTTCTGTTTGCGTGTATGCCTGCAGGCCAGAAGAGGGCACCAGACCTCATTACATATGGTTGTGAGCCACTGTGTGGTTGCTGGGAACTGAACTCAGGACCTTTGGAAGAGCAGGCAATGTTCTTAACCGCTGAACCATCTCTCCAGCCCCAGAGGTGATTTATTTTGATGAGGAAAAATTCTCATTATGTCTTCAGAAGTTTAGGTAATATGTGGTTTAAAAGAGTTGCTTTTTTCACAGTAAAACAGAATGAGTGCCCTTTTATTTCTGTGCAGAGAAACAGATAATATTGATTTTGATATTCTGAGTAGGAAGTTTATCAGGAAAATGTTGAAATAAGAGCGGCGGCGGGGCTACGTCCCCAACACCCCGGCCGCTTGGCTAGCTCATGCCCGAAATAACAACACACAAACTGTATTCATTTAAGAACTGCTTGGCCCATGAACTCTAGCCCTTNTTTTTTTGAGACAGGGTTTCTCTGTAGCTTTAGAGCCTGTCCTGCAACTAACTCTTGTAGACCAGGCTGGCCTCGAACTCACTCACAGAGATCCACCTACCTCTGCGTCCCAAGTGCTGGGATTAAAGGCATGTGCCACCACTGCTCGGCTCAGAGTTCATCTTGGATTGCTGTATTTCCTTGCTCAAACTCCTCCAAGGGCCCCCATTCATTTTCTTCCCTAGTTTTATTTTTTTTGTGTGTGTATACATGTACGTGTATGTGATATTTGTACAAGTCTGTATGTCAGAATGTGTATGGGCACATGTGTGTGCATGCACACTTGTGCAGAGGCCCAAGACTGACATCAGGTATCTTCTTTGGTTGCTCTACACTTTATATATTGAGGCGGCATCTCTTCCTCAACCTGCATTTCCTCTCTTCTGCTGGTCTGGCTTGCCAGCTTGGTCTGAGGGCTTCCTCTCTCCATCTCCTTCGAGCTGGGATTACAGACCTTCGACCATGCCCACCTAACTTCCCATGTGGGTGCTGGGGATCTGAACTCTGATCCTTGAGTTTGCACAGTGGGCCCCTGACCTGCTGGGCCAGGTCACCCACCCCTTTCATATGAAAGGCACAGCTTGTCGTTCCCCAAGGTCTCTTTTCTCACAGGAGTGCCTCAGGACTTGTCTCCTCTGTCATCCCTGGCTACTCACCATGTCACCTATGGTGCCTGCGTTTCTTCAGACTGTTTACAGAGCTGCATTCTGGAGGGGCTGTGGTAGTGACTGACACAGCCGTGGGTGTGCCAGGGATGTGAGTGAACTTGGGAAACTGTCCTTCTGTCCTTTCTCCATCATCCTTTCTGTAAGTCCCTCACCTAGTCCGGGCTCTTCATCTGGTGTGAAGCCAGAGTTGTTCCCAGCTGGTCTTTAAACTCACGTCGGTAGGCATGACGATGGGTGTGGCTGGTGAGGCAAGATGGACACTTGATATGGGGTGTCAGTATACCTGCCTTCTGCCCACCTGAATTCCCAGAGGGACTGTGAGTTTAGGACGGCAATTAGTCAGGGACCTGGGTGGTGGCCTTCCCCAGCAGCCTGTGCCCCTCCCCTGTGCAGGCAAGTTCAAACTCCTGGAGCAGGCTCGGGATGTCCGGGAGCCGGTGAGATACTTCAGCAGCGTGGAGGAGGTGGCCAGTGTTTTTCCTGACCGAATCTTTGTGATGGAGGCCATTACCTTCAGCGTCAAGGTCAGTCCTGGCACAGGGTAGGATCTTCCCAAGCTCCCTGTCCCCCAGGTTGAGGGAGGGAGGGAGGGATGGGGGAGAGAGAGCGGCTTCCGTGCATCCTTTTCTATGTCATAAAAGTGGTCTGTTTGATTCAGTGGGCTGAAGGGTTTACAGTAGTCTTGGGTGGGTGAGGCATTGTTATCATCCCATATCGTCAAGATGGCTTAATAAAATCTGCCATGATTGAGCACTTTCAAAGTACACACCTATACTCAGAGGTAACTAAGGACCTAAGGAGAACGTTAAAGTCGCACAGCTTCTCTCCAGTCCGAGTCCAGTGCTCTTGCTCTTATGCCAGCGACAGCTGAAGAGAAGGACTGGAGACTCTGCGGAGCTTGGAGCTCAGCGATGTGTGACTTTCCTTTGGGACCCTGGTTCGGACCTCACCTTGTCTCTGGGATTCCTCAGGTGGTGTCTGGCGAGTTCAGCGAGGACAGCGAGGTGTACAACTTCACACTGCACGCGGGCGACGAGCTAACTCTCATGGGCCAGGCAGAGATTCTGTGCGCCAAGACCACCAAGGAGCGCTCGCGCTTCACCACGCTCCTGCGCAAGCTGGGCCGCGCTGGGGCCCTGGCCGGAATGGGTGGCCCCGGGAGTGTGGGGGCCTCTGGGGGTGGCGGCGGGGCCGCGAGGCCCGTCAAAGGCAAGATGCCCTGTCTCATCTGCATGAATCACCGCACCAACGAAAGCCTGAGCCTGCCCTTCCAGTGCCAGGGCCGCTTCAGCACGCGCAGCCCGTTGGAGCTGCAGATGCAGGAGGGCGAGCACACGGTGCGCGCCATCATCGAGCGCGTGCGGCTGCCAGTGAACGTGCTGGTCCCCAGCCGGCCGCCACGCAACCCCTACGACTTACACCCCGTGCGGGAGGGCCATTGCTACAAGCTGGTCAGCATCATCTCCAAGACGGTGGTGCTGGGCCTGGCGCTGCGCCGCGAGGGTCCGGCGCCGCTGCACTTCCTGCTGCTCACCGACACGCCGCGCTTCGCTCTGCCGCAGGGCCTGCTGGCCGGGGACCCGCGCGTCGAGCGCCTGGTGCGCGACAGTGCCTCCTACTGTCGCGAGCGCTTCGATCCGGACGAGTACTCTACAGCCGTGCGCGAGGCGCCTGCAGAGCTCGCCGACGACTGCGCCAGCCCGCGCCGCGCGCGCCTCTGCCTGCCTGCGCCGCGCGCCCCTGGAGTCGTCCGCGCGCCCGGACCACCGGGTCGCCTAGGGCCAGCCCTGCCCGCGCTCGGCGACGGCGACCAGGAGTACATGAGCCCGGATTGGGCGGGTGCGACGGAACCCGCGGCCTCGTGCGCTGAGATCCCTTACGAAGAGCTGTGGGTGCACCAACCCCCCGAGAACCTCACCGATGCCCGTGTCCGGCCGCTGCCAGGGCCGGACCTCATCTCCTTCGGGACCGTGGGGTCCCCACGTCATGAGTCCGAGGCACCACCGCCTCCTGTCCCCCCCAAATCCGAGGCGGTGAGTCAGCTCTGCTGTCCTTGAGGGAACTTGGGCTGGTTTTAGAGGGCCATAAAGGTCAGGTGATGATACCCGGGCACCTGGGATGTGATACGATGGCCATAGCCAAAGGGAAAGGGGGCAAGATCACAGCACACACGCATGCATGCAAAGCATGGAGAATTGAGAGTGAACTTGCAACAGGGTTACCCACAAAGCCCTTCGTGAAGGTAAAGTTCCGAGGCGCAGTAAGTATAGGAAATGGCGAGGGATTTCCAGCAACCCCTCGACTTCTTGGGAGTTAGAATCACATTATAGGCTCTGAAATGTTCTGCACTGAGGAAGATTTTTAACAGGTCCCCATTTATTTGTCTTCAGAATATTTCCCTCATCAGTCACACCTGTTAACACACTCTTTGGGGAACACTTAATTTGGAAGGATGGGATCTAGATGGCAGATCCTGTCCCTCCCTTTTGTCGCTCTTGTCATATACCGCCCCCCCATATCTCTATCTGTCCCTCCCCCAATCTGCTAACAGTCACAGTGAATTTAAGGTGGAATAGGGGACTGTTGAGGACTGAGTGTGAGGGACAAAATGGGCTGGAGATGGGCCAGGTGGGTGGATAGCTGGGTTATCTAGCCAGGGAAGTCTCCCTGCTGGGTGGGGTAAGATGTCAGGGCCAGCCAGGCTCACCTGCTTGGGAAGTGAGATAAAGAGGGCCAGCTGCCTAGTGACACAGTCACCTTCTGCAGGTAAAGGAAGAGTGTCGCCTGCTTCATGCCCCTCCTGTACCTCCTCGGGGCGGCAGCAGCTGCAGCAGGCTCACAGGCAGCCCCCCAGTGCCACCCCGCTTTCCCAAGCTGCAGCCTGTCCACTCACCCAGCTCCAGCCTCTCCTATTATTCCTCAGGCCTGCAGGATGGGTGAGTCACTGCCTTGGTCCCTGGCTTTGTTCAGATGCTTGGAGTGGTGGTGGGTGGTCATTCCCTGCACTGGGATTCTGCTGCAGGAAAAGCACCGTTTTTCCTTGTTTCCTTTCTTCTTTCTTTAGATTTATTGATTTTATTTTATGTGTATGTTTTGTCTGCATATATGTATGGAGATCAGAAGAGGAATTCAGATCCCCTGGAACTGGAGTTATGGATGGTTAGAGCCACCATGTGGGTGCTGGGAATTGAACCCTGGTCCTATGGAAGAGCAGCCAGTGCTCTTAATTGCTGAGCCATTCTCCATCCCAAACCAGGGTCTTTAGCAAGAGCAAGTCCTCTTAACCACTGAGCCTATCTTCAGTCTTGAGATCACTATTTTCCAATTTGTACTTTCTCAGTTTAATTTCTCTTGTATGTTCTGATATGACTTGGGGACTTTGGGGGATTCAGGCTTTGGGATTAGCAGGCTGGCTAGCTTTGGTGAGAGTAGAAGGCTCCTGCTGAGGGCTATGAGGTCCTGTGACTGTCACCACCATCACCCCCCCCCCACCCTATGTGTACACCCGTGTGTCTCTCTCTGCTTATAGGGCAGGATCCCGCAGTGGCAGCGGTTCCCCGTCACCGGATGCCTACTCCCTCTATTGTTACCCTTGCACCTGGGGAGATTGCAAAGCCAGCGAATCCTCTAGCCGTCCACCCCCAGGACCCATGCCTTCCACCACCACTCAGCCCAGCCAGGCCTCAAGAGCCCTAGCTGAGCCTCCAAGTGGTCGGACCACCTCCCTTTTAGGGGCTGACACCCCAGTGGTTAAGAACTACCATGGCTGTCCACCTCTGTTCAAGCCCTCCCACGCCCAGAAGCGCTTTGCTCCATTTGGTGCGCTCAACCCCTTTTCTGGGCCTGCCCACCCTTCAGGTGCTCCAGTGGCCTCCTCCTCTGGGTCCACATCCACCTCGGGTGCCCTGGCTACCTCCAGCCCCACACATTCCCCGGGCCCAGGCCCTCAGGGCCAAGGTTACTCAGCTGCCCTGTCCTCCTCCCTGTCCTCCTCTGAGTGGCAGGAGCCAGCACTGGAACCCTTGGACCCATTTGAGCTGGGGCAGGCTAGTCCTCCAGAGCTGGAGCTGCTGCGCTGTCAGGAGCCCAGAGCTGTGGGGACACCTGGGTCTGGACCTTGCCTTTCACCACTTGGTCCTCCTAAGGCCTTTGAGCCTGAGGGTTTGGTGCTGAGGCAGGTCCCCGCCTCATTGTCACCAGCTGCCTTGCAGGGGCCCGAGACAGGAGGGACCCTACTCTTTCTCACCCAAGGGGGCTTGGAAGGGCCTCCTGGCAGTCCCCGGGAGGGAGGCACAGGCACTGGAGTGCGGGATGCACCCCCCTGGCAGCCACCAGCGGACTTGTCTGCACTCTCCCTGGAAGAGGTCTCGCGCAGCCTGCGCTTCATTGGGCTCTCCGAGGATGTGGTGAGCTTCTTTGCCCGAGAACGCATCGATGGAAGCATCTTTGTGCAGCTCAGTGAAGACATCTTGGCTGATGACTTCCATCTCACCAAGCTGCAGGTCAAGAAGATCATGCAGTTCATTAAGGGCTGGAGGCCCAAGATCTGAACTGTTGGGCCAGCAGCTGCGCAGCCTGAATGCCAGGAGTGGAGAGGCCCTGGGGTCTCCCAGGGGCAGGGCCTCCCGCAGGAAGATCTGGGCCAAGACTGGGGCTGCTCTGTGGGTTCTGAGTGTTCCAGGGGAGACACACTGGGACCTGTAGGCCTCTGCAGCCAGACCTTGCAGGAGCAAGTCTTGTTTGTGAAGAATACTTGGGGAGGGGGCGCTACTCTGCACCTGCCCCAGTGGGGCTTTTGCTGCCATTCCCACAGCAGGGTAAAGGTGGCGTGTGTGGCAACAGGTGGCAGAACGCCTTCCTGTGCCCCGCTGTAGCCTTTCAGACACCACACACTGCTCGCCCTTTATGTTCAGGTTAGAGAGCAAGGGAAGATGGCTCAGAACTCAAGTACAGTTTCCCCAAAGTGCCCTCTCCTTCACGCTCTGTGGGCTTTGGCCTGTGGCTGCTCCAGAGAGTTAGGGGTGTGACTCCCGTCTCTGAAGTGCCCTCTTTCTGTCTGCTCCCATGATTAGGCACTTGACCCTTAGCACTGATGAACCTGCTACAGGCCTATGCCCAGCACTAGAGTTCCTGCTTTGGTCTTTGCTTTGACGTCATCACAGCTATTCGCTGGTTTTCCATGGGGCAGTCTGAGGACAGTTCCTAGGGGGAGTGGCTGGATGCAGGCCAGCAGCTCTTCAGTTCTAGAAACAGTGATCATACTCCCCACTGTTAGCATTTCACTTGACAGACACTTGGGGGCCCCCTGGTGTGTCACTGGTACAGGACAGTGTGACTGGGAAAGGGAGGCAGGTGGCTCAGGGAAGCTACCAGCTCAGAGATCTCTGGGCCCTGCAGTCTCAAGCATGGTGATCCATGTGACACCTAGAGGCCTGGCTAGTGCAGACCCCCCATTCCTTTCCAGCTCCTCTAACAAGAACCACACACCTTGTGCCCTCTGGTGGGGGTGGGCAGAGGTGGCAGTTTTCTCGTCTGCCTTCCCTGACCTACCTATTTATTTCTTGAGTTTCTTTACAAATAGTTAAGCCCTGCCCACACCCGTGCCAGTCCGAGGGGAACACTGATGCGGCGCTGTGTCTTCTCACAATTGATGGCTCCCGAAGGGGTAGGGGAAGAAAGGAAAGTGTGGGGCCCTGGGTGTTGGCTGATACTGTTTTGGTGGAGGGCTGTGAAGACTAAGGTCTCTGAGCAGGGGAGGGCTTTGCAATGGTCTGTAGCCTGCTCTTAAACCTGAGACACACAGCAGCATCCTCACTCCAGTCTGGAAAACCACACCCTTCCACAATGTCTTGACCCACTAGTAATTTTCTTAAAACATTGGTGTATTGCCTGCATGTATGTCTGTGTGAAGTGTGTGAGGGTGTCAGATCTTGGAGTTACAGACTAGTGTGGGCTGCCATGTAGGTACTGGGAATTGAACCCTGGTCCTCTGGTTCTTAATTGCTGAGCCATCTCTCTGCCGCCCCTTACCCCCTACACCTGTTTTTCAAGGCAGGGTTCCTCTGTGTAGCATTGGTTGTCCTGGAACTCACTTTGTAGACCAGGCTGGCCTTGAGATCAGCCTGCCTCTGCCTCTGGGATTAAAGGTGTGTGCCTCCTTGAGTCTTAAGTAATTTTTTACCTTCAGAATTTATACCTTCTTGCTGAGGGAAGACCCAGAAATCAGAGCTCAGTGCCACCAAAGGTCCTGGTGTAACTGCAGCCAGCTCCCTGAGACACCTGGTCTTGGCCTTTGTGCGGAGAACCAGTTCTGTACCTTCTGGCCATCTGCAGATCTACTGAGATGACTCAGCTCTGGTGTAGGGCTTCCTAGCAGTGGACGGCAGCTGTTCGGCGGAGCCCAAGATGAGCTCCCTCACAAGTGGGAAAGAGGCTGGAGTCAGCACCATCTGGGTTTAGAAGTCAAAGTGTGATGGGACCCGAATTACGATTCTGTACTGACTCAGTGGAACCATTAAGAGCCCAGCACTGCTTATACAACTAGGCCCTGTTCCCAGTTGAGTGTGAGAACTTTACCACCAAGTGGGGGTGGGATGAACTGAGGCCACAGAAATGAGGTGGGGCTGGATCTGCAGGCATCCATCTTCTTTGCAAGATTCCAAAGCACCAGGCAAACATAATCTTCTGTATAACTCTCTCCCACAAAGATCCTGAGAAGCCAGGGATGAGCATGCCAAGGAAAAGACTGCATACAATGCACAGTGAGGACATGAATTTGGGGGAAGAAGTATCTTTCACATCCTGGTACACCATGCCCCTACTGTTCCCAGTGCTCTCACTGACCAGGGCTACAACTGGGCCATAGACAGCCCAGCCAAGGCACTTAGGCAGTCAAGCTTCAAGACATGGGCACAGAAAGTCTGTTTTCTGGCATCACAATCCCCCTCTCAAGCAGCTGCCTCAACATCTCCCAACACATTCCTGCTCCACAGCACAGAGCTTATTACTGAAGGGGGTGCTTAAACAGACAGGCAGACAAGAAAACAGAGCAGGCAGGCAGAGGCCAACAGTCTGGATTTTATTGTCACCCTGTGTTTGGCCGGGTGCAGAAATGCCCTCCCCACTGCCAGTCCCCACTGGCCTCCTGGGGGGCACAGGCACCAGATGTTCTGGGTTGCTTGTAGCTGCTGCTCTGGGCCTCAGGCAGGCTGGCGAAAGGAGCACAGTGGGGCTCACCCTCCAACATGAAGTACAAAGGCTTAATTCACAGTCAGACTTCACCAGGAGGAAGAGCTGGTCAGGGCTGAAGGCACTGAGGGAGGAGCAGACCCAAGGCCTGGTCTTTCTCCTGAAAATCTAGCCAGCACGACACAATGCGCACTGCCAGGTCTGGGTTAGTGCATGGACGGGACAGGATGGGAGAGCCTGCTCACTGGTAGAACTTCTTGCTGGGGGTGTTTGCATGGTCGAGGAGCAGCTGGCATGGGGTAAACTGTATTCCGTAGGCAGACTCATACTTCCGGAGCCGGTCCACTACCTTCTGCGCACCGTACAGATCCACAAAGCGGAAGGGCCCTGAGCAGAGACAGGACATTAGCGAAAGGGACATGACAAGCGCAAAGATAAGGAAATCAGGCTCCCGGCCTTCACACTGACCTCCGAGACAAGGGGGAAAGCCAAGGCCAAACACTGCTCCGATGTCTCCCTCCGCAGGTGTGGCCAGGATCCCTTCCTGTAGGCACAGGACTGCCTCATTCACGAACCTCAATATCACACGGTATTGGATGTCTTCGTCAGAGGAGCTGAGGAAAAGAAGGAGCAGAAGGAACATTTAGCTAGGGAAAGAATGGGAGGAGCTGGAGTGTAGATGTGGGGTGCTGGGGAGTTTTAGGGAGTCCAGTGGCTGGGATGGACCACACCATCCTGAAAGATGACGCAGCCTTTCTCTTGGAAAAGGGGTGAGACTTTCCCTACCTGATGTGAAAATGAGCACCCAAAATGGCCTGACACAGAAGAAGTTTCATTCACCATCTGACAGATCAGCAATAGCAGTATGTTCCCAAACTAACAAAGAGCAAGGGTGTGTGTGTGTGTGTGGGGGGGCTACACAACCCATCTTCCATCTTTACAGGCAAGGCTTGTAGCTGGCCGGTGGTGGTGCACGCCTTTAGTCACAGCACTCGGGAGGCAGAGGCAGGCGGATCTCTGAGTCCGAGGCCAGCATGGACTAGAGACAGAGTTCCAGGACAGCCAGTGCTACACAGAGAAACCCTATCTCAAAAAACCAACACAGACACAGGCAAGGCTTGCCCTAGGCCTGGCCAGTTCTCACCTGGACACCTAAGCTGCGGGCGAATGCAGGGAGTTCAGCTTTGGGTCATAAAGAGAACAGAAAAGGGGCTGCGGAGCTGTGAGCTACCAGAGAAACATCGTTTCTGTGCTACAATCACTCCAGTCGACTTACACCTCGGGCTTGGCAGCCAGCCTCAGGCTCGCCAGGATGCCATCCATTTCCGAGTTCAGGCTCTTATTCTTTGACCCCTCCTGATAGATGTAGAAGCCCTTCCCAGACTTGCGACCTGAGAGAAGAAAGAGACTGCTCGTTGTTGTCCTTCCCCCTAGCTGAGAACTCAGGTCTTCTGGGTGCTGGGAGCTTCTAGCACTCTCCTGCACCCCTCAGTGCCTGCGTCCAGCCAACTGAGTCGTTTAGTCCTGATGGCTGGCAGAGAAGAGAAGTGCCTGGTGCATGGACATCTGAATCTGAACAAGCGAGTCCGCCCTCCACCCCTGGACTTTAAGTGTCCAAACAGGAGGTGATTTATTACAGCCTTAATGCTATGTTCTGAATGGGAAGGCTGAGCTCCCTACACATGGCCAGGGCACAAGGTCAAGCCTGGATACAGAACTTGCTCCGATAGTGTCAGATCTTGGCAGGAGGAATATGCTGATCTATCTGGCATACATAGCAGAGTCCCGTAAGCCTCACTCCGTCTTTCCCCCTGATCTACACACCCAGCCTAAGGCATTTCCTATGTCCAGGGCTCTGTGTTTAGGAAACTCTCCTCCCTGCTCTCTGCTCACACACGGCCGCTCAGAACTCAGTAACTAACAGTGTTACTCGTGTCTCGTGGCTACTCACCCAAGAAGCCCTTGGAGACCATCTGCTTCAGCAGTTCTATGTTGCCACCTCCGAACCGCTCCCCAAAGGTTTTGCCCAGGTCTTCTGCTACATGCTGGGCTACGTCCACACCTACTTCGTCTGCCAGGGTGGCAGCACCCACAGGAAAGCCAAAGCCTGTGGTCAAGGTGTCCAGCTTTTTAGGGTCAACTCCTTCCTAAACAGGAAGTAAAGCAGGGGCCTCAGAGCACAGCTACCTCATCCCCCCATAGGAGGGCTGCCTGTAATAACCCATGGACACAGCCTCGTGCAAAACCCACTTCTTTCTTAGACGTCACCTGGCCAGGTCCAGAACCAGTGCTTCACCCCGAAGGCACAAGAGGAAACCCTGACGCTTCCCCACACCCTTTAAGACAGCTGAGATGACCAGGTTACTCGGTTCTTGCTTGTGATTCTGAACCTCGGGACTGAAGAGATGCCAGAGCTGCCAGGACTGAGAATGCTGGCATTCCAAGGCTAGGGACGTGCCCAGTGAAGAGGATCCTCATTGCCATGCAATGATCTGGATGGCTATGGAAGGGTGTGTGTGTGAGCGTGCATCTGTGGATACAGTGGCAGTCAGGCCAAGCAGGCTCCGGTCTGAAGGTCCTCAGCCCAGGGATAGACACAGTGTGTCTGAGCATTCTGGGCAGCCTTTGGCTCCTGCAGTGGTCAGGGAGCTAAGAGAGCGGTGTTAACATTCTGCCTATTGGGCAGTCTCAGCCCCGAGATTTCCTGTTTCAGTGTGGGGAGGAGGGCACAGAAGGGCCTCCAGGGAAAAGCAGTGGTGTATTCTGAGCAAGCCTATCCTTATCTGAACATTTTCAGCTTGGAGAACAGAGTGAAAGATCTGACGAGGTCTCAAACATTCCACAGAACAATACCCACCTGAAGGATTCGCATGACTTCAGACATCATGGGAGCAAGACACCTGGTGGTGTAGAAGCCAGGTCCATCCTGCCAAAGGAGAGGAAGAGAGCTCACAGATGGTCCTGCTCTGCTTCAACTACCCCTGTCCACACCCAGTCTCCCTTTCCCAGTTTCAGCTGACTTACTCTCCCCAGAATGCTCAGTGTTACGCTGGAGAGGAAGCCGTCCTGAACAGTCTGGGTTGCATGTAATCTTTGGGGTCTGGAACCACTGGTGAGGACCTGTCAGAGCCTAGATCCACCGTACCTACCCCACTTCGGCCGAACAGTCAATACTCCTGTCCATTTCAGAGGCAGCCCAGCGGTCAGGGTTCTAGAGGCTGCACTTCCCCCAGAATAGCCATCACAGTTATGGGGGCTCAGGAAATCTGCTGATGCTTCCGGGCCTCACCTTCACCACAATGATGACTTTGCCCTGCTTGAGACCCACTGCCACGGCAGAGGCTGTGGTGTCCTTGGAGGTTTTGTCTGTCGTGATGATTTCCAGAAGCTGCATCTTGTCCACGGGAGAGAAGTAGTGCATGCCAATCACCTGGAGAGGGAGCCACACCAACAGATTACCAGTGCAGACGGGAGAACCCAACTGTGCCTGGCTCGCTAGGGAGACACTGGAGAGAAAGGTCTGTGGCCAGGAATACTGCTGTCTAGTCCAGAGGCTTGGGTCTGTGGTCTCATAACCAGCTGCTCTCTTTCCCTGAGCCTTCTGCCACCTGCAGCCCGCCTCTAGCATGTCCATCACATTGCCCTGACCCTGCTGTGTGCTGGGAAAGCTGACTGTTGTTCACTCATCCACACTGCGTGAGGAGGAAGACAAGGCTTGTGTGGTTTGGAGACAATGTATTAGCAATGCTGGCTGTTTAGAGATTTTTTAAATATTTATTTATTTTTGTTTTTTATATTTATTTATTATGTATACAATGTTATATTTATTATATTACATATTATATTTATTATATTAATATATTATATAATTATATATAATATAAATTATATTATTAATTATGTATACAATATTATTTATTATGTATACAATATTATATTTATTTATTATGTATACAATATTCTGAATGTCTGCAGGCCAGAAGAGGGCACCAGACCTCATTACGGATGGTTGTGAGCCACCATGTGGTTGCCGGGAATTGAACTCAGGACATTAGGAAGAGCAGGCAATGCTCTTAACCACTGAGCCATCTCTCCAGCCCTTGTTTTGTTTTGTATTTCTTGTCTCTCTGGCTGATCAGTTGAAGCCACTATTGTCTTCCCAAGAAGGGAGGAATTTCGCCTTTCCCAGCCTAAGCAGTTACCACACTGCACCATAGCTAAACTACACACTGCTTTTTGGTTTAGGGCCTATCCTCTAACACCTAATTCTAAGTTAAAGGAAGTTTAATAGTTTAAACTTGAAAAACTGCTACCATGGGGGACGCACACCAGCCACCAAGTGTACTCAGCTGTAGTAATGCATTGATCCCTACACCTGTGGATCATGCCGTTCAGTCTTTGGGAACTTCCATCCCACAGTCTATACTGGTCCTTTCCGGGCTTGTATTCTGAAGCAGTCAGACATCTGAGGGCTTTCTGTCCACATTACCTTCTCAGGTCTTTTGCTGACAGAAGCAATCTGATTGATTGGCAGAGCAGATGTGTTGCTGGCAAAGATGCAGTGCTCTGGAGTCACCTGCAAGAGGGAAATGCGTTAGCATCTGCCAGGCAGGCCTAGGATGGCAGTCCACAGCACAGCTGAGACACCCAGGCCCGGTCTACTCCCTCATCTGTACTTGCTTACAACACAGACAGAACTCATACAGACACCATGAGTCACCTAGAAGCTCTTCTTAACCGAGCTGTCCTCTAGTGATGGCCTATCCTGCCCTAGAGACTACATCTCAGCACTTGGTAAACACGATGCCTTAGATGAACGCCGCCAAAACGATGACTTGAATTAAGTTTCACTAAGGCGGGGCATGGGTGCCAACCCCTCTTGTTATCTGGATGTGCTCGAGTCTGGAAGGGTACAATATTTCCTAGCCCTGCTCACCTTTAATAAGCCAGAAAGTGTACAGCACTTCACTCTAATAGTGTCAGTGAAGAGCAGTGTCCCCTGTAACTATTCCTGCAGCACACAAATACCATCGACTGTTGGCTGCATTAGGCTGTCTCGGCATTGTCCCTAATACTATGTTCAGCATTATGTCTACCATCTCAACTTATTCAAGTTTTCTGCCACTTGGATGCAAATTATGAAAGGCATCTCTGTTAAATTTGCACAAATCTGAAGAAAAAAAAGGCCTAGCAGTGGAGGTCATACCTTTAATCCCAGCACTCAGGAGGAAGAAGCAGGCAGATCTCTGTGAGTTTGAGGCCAGCCTGGTCTACAGAGTTCCAGGACAGCAAGAGCTACATGGAGAAACCCTTACTCGGGGAAAATCTTTTCCACAAATCTGGCATAGACAGAATGCAAACACTAGACTGAAGGTTGAAGATTTAACACACCCAAAAGCTGAGTACAAAATGTTAATTATGACAGAGATAAAGGTGAATCATTAAGGTAAATCAGAACAAAACCAAAAAACCTCCAAGAATTGTACAGGCATTAGATGAACAAAACAAGGCTTGTGATGAAGATCCTGCATCTTTGTTGTTTTTTTGTTTGTTTGTAGCCTGGGCTGGCCTCAAACTCACAGGGATCTGCCTGCCTCTGCCTCCTAAATGCCAGGATTAAGGGTGTGTGACACCATCATCAGGCTGAGACTATGATTTTAACCAAGCAGAGTGGAATCTGAGTTGGCAGTGTGGCGTGCCGGAGAGAGTAAACACAGTCACTTAGCTGTTAGCATGGTATCAAGGCTGAGGGAAAAGTCCTCTTGGGGCTAGAGATGTCCCAGTAGGTAGGGTGCTCGCCTAGCATGCATGAAGGCTGGACTGGGTCCCCAGCACCACATAAATTGGGCACAGTGTTGTAGGCCCATAATCCTGGCACTTGGGAAGCAGAGGTGGGGGATCTGAAATTCAAGGCCATCCTTGGTTACCTGGTGAGTTCAGGGCCAGCCTGGGGTCTGTCTGTCTGTCTGTCTGTCTGTCTGTCTGTCTGTCTATCTTCTACTCTAGGAAGACCAAATCATTTTCTCCAGAGATGGCTGGCAACAACCTCGTTGCTCCCTGGTCATGCATGCCTTTCTTCCCATGCAGAGGGAGTCTATTTCCCATGCTCTGAATAAGGGCTGGCTGTGATTGATTCTTAACAACAGAAGCATGGCTACTGGTCTCAGGTCTCACTGCAGTTCTGCAGAAACCACTTTGGCTCTTGGAGAACCTTATTGTAGAGAAGTTCTAGCCATGGGAGAAGGGAGGCCATGGGGTAGGCACTGGGCACCCAACCAGGTTTTCAAATGACTGCACCTCCACCAGCCGACTGACTGCACCTCCACCAGCCGACTGACTGCACCTCCACCAGCCGACTGACTGCACCTCCACCAGC